ACTTTCGTAACAAACTGCTAGTTTACCAACTTCATTAGTTTTTATTGAGATTGTAAGGATTTAATCCTATTTTGTAATTTTTACAGGATTTTAAGACGAGCGAATTAATTTTAGGTTTATGGAATCTGATGCTTATTTGTTATGCTAAAAATTAAAATAATTCAGCAAGTATTCTACCAATTTACAAACATTACAAAATTACATTACAACTTTCACAAAATTATTAAATTCATCCACAATTCTTGTTTTCTATCAAAATTGTAATCTTACTTTATTCGTGCTGCCGACAAATTCCCCAATTTCCCTACAAACTTGCCTTATCCCAAATTAAGTAAACTTGCCGTCTCCCCGACTAAATTTCATCTCATCCCGTCGACTTTGTCAGAATTATTAAGGTTTAATACGCGTAAATAGAAATTAGTCACGACGGTAAAACATAATCGCGTAGCATCGGAGTAAATGGTTTAGTGCGGATAGTTGCGGATAAGATTGCGGATTTAGAATTGCGTATTTAGTGGCGAAAGGGATAATAATGCCCAATTAATTACAGATTAGTGAGCAGTTTAGTTTTATAATTGATATTTTACGGCGAGTGAGACTTTCTCTCAAGTTTCGCCTCGTCATGGCACAAAACGTGGTTTGATACATAGGAAACGGACAGGTAACTAACAAGAAGTGCATGACGAAGTAAGTGAATAATGCATAAAACTTTCCCCGTTAGCAAAATAGCCCCCGTCTCTGGTTAGTGGTCTGGTCAGCTGAAAGAAATCACGACACGAAGTCAACCCAGGAGCAGGGTGCCTAAAAACATATAACAGTTTTTGTAAGGTATTGCAATTTTTGGGTATTATTTAGTGAAACCTTGGTTTTTGATGACATAATATCTAAAATATGTATAACATAAATAGGCTTTTTGATTAACAAGCTACAGTACTGAACAAAAGGGTCTGGTCTAGGATTTGTCACCGGTGGTGACCGCCCAATATGAATCTATCGATGTGGGTAATGTAAAATTGTACAAAATCTAAATTGAATTTTTGGTATCATCAAATTTACCTAAGTATTGCCAAATAATTTACAATTTTTTAGCAATAATTGATCTAACGCCAAATTTCTAATTCTACGAATGTTGATTACCTAATTTAAAAAACTGTTTGCATTGCAAATAATTTACACTTAATTGAAGGCGAGGCAATCATCTGAAGAATTTTTAAAACTATCGCTTTATTAATTATTTAGCAAAAATCGACGCCGTAGTTTTGCAAAATTTAAATTAAATTCTACAAAACAAGGAAATTCTTGGAAACATGGTCCAGGAACTGCGACTCAAGGAACTATATCTACAGCTGCGACTGATTTGATGGGGACAAGGGGACCAGCACATTCTATGCTTCCACTATCAATTTTAACATGCGGGAGGTAGTACAAAGGTGTAAAAATTGGGCTAAAATAGATCGATAAATAAGCTCTGCTAATAAAATTTTACACGTTTAGTGTGCAAGGAAATGAAATAAATTAAATTTGAAAGTTTTTGAACTTTAGTAAAAGAGGTTCAAAATATAGACAATTTTACAAGTTCACTGTTCTGGGAGGAAAGTTTGATTCTGTCTGAAATGAAAATATTTAATTTTAGAATGTGTTTGGAATCCTAGAATGTATTTTTCCTTACATGAAGAGGAGACAGAAAATTATGAAAATAAAGCACGTTTAAAATATAAGCTTGTAAAAATTTCGTATAATTTCGGCTTCCTACTTCTTGGCATAGTTAGACGGCGTACTGTCTTCTTCAGAGTGATGAAAAAATTGCGAAAAATATGTCAATAAATTAAACGTAAAGGGTTACAAATTGTTAAGTTAGATCAAAATTGTTGGAAAGCGAAAAATACAATTTCATTGTATACCTCTATTTTACAAATAAAAGAGAAGAAGCTATTTCCGAACCATGACATTTTCTCGGCCGACCCGATAATAATAATAATATAACGATCCCATTGTATTGATAGCTTGACTAATCGGAACAAATCCAATTCGATTTCATTCTTGGCCGCGGCGCTGTTTGTTTTCAAACAGCGCCTTCATCCTTGTTTGCGGAACGGGCGGACTAATTACACTCCCCGCTTTCTCCTTCTTACCCTACTAAAGTGGACAGGAATTTGTGTACAATTCAATGAGTTGTAGAATTCACTAAATAATGTGGCAACAAAATTTTGACAGATTGGCAATGATTTTGTCATCTGTCAATTTATCTCCGCGTTAAAATTCGTAGTGAAATTCTTGGTACTACTGCTTACTCGTATAAGATTCTGTCAAACTATGACAGGGCGAATGACACATTTTACTACCAATTTGGTACCACATCAATTTATATCTTTAGATTATATCCAAGCAAATTATAAGAGAAGCTAGCAATTTATGAAATTTAAATTTAAGATTGAAGCTCAAACAAAAATTACTTTTTTATTAAATCGTTACAAGTTTTAGGAATTGGACGAAAATCTTGGATAAAATTAAAATTACCAATGCCCGAGTGAAATTTGGTATTTTAATATAAAACTGTTTATTACAACTATTTACTATGATTAATAAATCGCACTACCACCACGAATAAGACCCATCTAGGCTAATTCAGACAAATACCGGAGAGTCTAAAATTATTTATGTGGCGCTAAAGTTCGCGATTTTTTTTCATTCATAATATTGAATCAAGTTGTTCTGAAAAATCAGATAGTTCGTTAATTATCAAACTACGCATTTATCAATAGGAATTATAATATTTTAAATATTTATCACAGTTGCATACAAGTTGTGTTAATTATGTAACACAAAAAAACACGTCACTTTCAACAATTTTTGATGTATTCATTTTTAAATATTTAAAAAATTCGCCAAAGGCTAGACTTTAGTTAACCGTCGGTCTCCGATAGGGTTAAGTGATACGTCATTTTGTTCGTCTCGCGAGCTGAACAAGAATATCGAAGCCAGAAGGCGCGGAAATGTCCCGTTCAAAAGTTATGGCGGGACAAAGTTTGAAATTTTTATTGCATTTTTGGACGTTTCAGAGAATTCTACGACTTTGTCTCACTTTGCCCCAAAGCGGGAAATTTTTTGGGGTATATTGAGATTTTAGGGGTAACGTGAGATTTTTAGTTTTTATTGCAGAATATTGAATTTCATCAATTTCCGACATGGCAGGACATTTTTGGGGTAGATGAGATTTTCGGGGTAACGTGAGATTGTGGCAAAACGTGGCAAAACGGGGCCCTCACATGGCGACCGCGAGCGAAGCGAACCTGGAAAATGCGAAAGCGGGAGCCCCGCACTGGTAGTAATTATGTCGAATATTGGGGTATTGTTCGTATTTTAGCGAGCGAAGCGAGCAGGTAGGTTAGATTGAATACGCGGAAAGTGCTACCTAGGAGAGCTACCTAAAAGTGTTACAGAAGATACCTAGAAGAGCTACCTAGAAGTGCTACCTGGATAGCTATCTAGAAGTTCTAGATGCTGCCTAGAACCTAGCACATGTAGATAGAAGGCTACCATGAGCTAAAGAGCTATAATGTATTAGAAAGAAAGACTACCTAGAAGTGCTACTAGAAGAGCTACCTAGAAGTGCTACCTAGAAGTGCTACCTAGAAGAGCTACATAAAGTGCTACTAGAAGAGCTACCATGTACTAGAAGAGCTACTAGAAGTGCTACTTAGAAGAGCTACTAGAAGAGCTACCTAGAAGAGGCTAGCTAGAAGTACCTAGAAGTGTACCTAGAAGTGTTACTAGCTATCTAGAATGCTACCTAGACGTGCTGGCCTAGAATTGGGGAATGGATAGGAAATAACCCAAAGTCTCAAAGTACCCCGAAAACCCTCCCGCGTGCCGTAAATGATTGTAATTCAATATTCTGGAATAAAAACTAAAATCTCAACTACCCCAAAATCTCATATACCCCAAAAAATTCCCGCTTTGGGGCAAAGTGAGACAAGTCGTAGAATTCTCTGAAACGTCCAAAATGCAATAAAAATTCAACTTTGACCCGCCATTACTTTTGAACGTTTCGATATTCTTGTTCAGCTCGTCGAACTGAACAAAATGACGTATCACTTAACCCTATCGGAGACCGACGGTTAACTAAATTTTTCCCCCCAAATTCACTGTGACAATTTTTCCTCCTGCTCTTGACTTATCTTTGATTTGAACCGGTAATAACGTTCTTACTTACCATTGAGACCTTGAGAATACCAATCTTTCACATAAATTAAATGTCTGTGATAACTTCTTTATATTTTTGACGTCCAACTTTCCCAGACATTTTCAATTTATGAAAATTTAGTAAAAATGCGAAGAAATTCTTCAAGTCAAAGTGGCATTGCTACTGTTAATCTTGGTTTATAGAGTCGAGAAATTTAACTAACGTTGCAAAAGTTTAAAAACAGTTAGGTCACTAAAAATAAATTTAAAATTAAGTCTAAGTCTAACCGTAAATTTATTTCTTCTTAACTTTACAAATTAATATTATACGAATTACGGACTTTACAAACATGCGAGCTAATTGTTTCAATTGATTGTAGAGTGGTATAAAGAGTACAGAGAATTGTATGAGTGAACGAAATGTTTGCCAAACTTCAAGTGAATTATAATTATTGTATTACTCCAACTTTTAACTTTTATCGTGATAATTAAGTCCATAAAAATTTTGCGAAACGTAAGGAAAGGAGCTACGACCCTTTTTGTATAAATACGTATTTGGTCATAAGTAATTTTTATTTTGGCGTCCATCTTTGCCAAATGTTTGAATACTTTAAAATTGTCGTTGTACATACATAATGAAAATTTTAATACGTAAAAAGTAAGCTAGGATCAAACATAAAAAATTGAGTGTATTTTGTACCCGGTTTTTAAATCGTAAAACAGTTCAAAATTCATTTTAAATTAAGAATGTAAGGTGCGACAAAATGATAATTAAAAAAATAAAATTTGAATTCTTTCTAAATTACAGGTGATTCCCGACGGGATGCCCGTTACCCGATCGTGCTTGTGATTCACGGTGAGGGTTGGGAGTGGGGGAGTGGCAACGAATTTGATGGGGCCGCCCTCGCCAGCCTCGGAAATCATATCGTCGTCACCTTCAATTACAGGTCAGAGTTGCGCGAAGGGTGAGATTCAAAGGCGCGTAATATTATTTGTGTATGTAACAACTAACTAAATATTTTATATGGATTTAATTTCCAGGTTGGGACCTTTAGGTGAGTAGCGAAATTATTTGAATTTTTATCCATCCTCATTTATCACATATTTCATGCGGTTCATGATTAATTACGGAAAATTGTACTATTTTCGAGGTAAAGTTTCTTACATTTTAATTCACGTGGTAGAAAATTTGTTACGGGGGAGTTACATCAAGTCCTGAATTTGTACAAGAAATTCTACTAATTGTTTTTAAGAAAAACGTAGAATTGATCAAAGTGACGTATTGTGATTCATTAATTCTAGTCATAAAAGTCAGCTGTATATAATTTTTTAGCGTTCGAGTTGTTAATAATTTTATCGAAGGACGTTATCCTTTTACGAATTTACGTGAACTACGAAGAAGTTATTTCTTTTGGCACTATTCTTGTACACATTTGGCAAATGTACGTATAAAAATTGTTGCATGAAATTCCTCAGCATTTGATGCACATCTATATTATAGCTGGAAATGTTTGTCTGCAACGGAAGCAAAATAATTTTCCGTGACGGAAGTGAAAGTAGAGAAAGCAATAATATTAATTGGAATTTTAACATCAAATTCACTCTCGCCCTGCGGGAGACGGGCTTATACGCTAGTTAGAAATATTCCTGGTCTGGTAGATGACTGTACTATTTTCTATCCATACACTATTGTAAACCTGGTAGAGTCATATATTTACTCGTATTAACTTGCTACTGGATTGGGGGTAGTTTGTGTCTGCATGGTAAATTTTTCAGTACCACAAAATTACTAAACAGTAATGCCGGTTATTACCAGTGCCGGAAGGCACATCTACATTTGTACTTCGGTCGGGCAGTAATGATTTGAAAACAGTTTTATTAAAAGTGTAAACTCTTAATTACAAGTAAGAAAAAAACTTGATTTATGTGAAACAAATGTGAATCTAAACCAAAATACCGTCCATGAAACATATGCTGGTTAGTGATGCAAAATGAAACAATCCCTAAACAGGAATGCAAAAAAGTGGCATATACAATTACGTCTTAGGTTGCATTACATAATAAGAAAATTACATAACATGGCCAACTTTCCCTGCGATGAATGAAATGTAATATGAGACCGGAAAACGAGGAATGTACATCTGTCCACCCACTTCACAAAGTTTTCACTCTTAATAATTTCACTAAAGATTTTGTTTGTCAATACGAAAATCCAGTAAAAATAATTGTTTAGTTAAACGCCCTTATGAAAAAATATGAAAATTGTAATTCGATTTCAAAAATGCAGATACAGATTGTTTAGTACAATCTAATTTTAGTTTATGCTAATATAGCCTCTCCAAACGTTTTGAATAATGAAAACCTGGATTTTGTAATAGTATCAGTTATACGTTTTTTTAAATTAGGAAATCTATGGAGAACAAGTATTAAGAAATATTACTGACTTGACATAAAACATAAGATTTCTTAATCGAAATAATTTTATTGTGAAATGAACAGATAAATAGTCGAACTGGGAAAGACTGAGTATCTAACGGATAACAAATTATTATTATTTTCTTTTTAAATACCAAAAAGAAAGCTGGTAAATAAAAAAGAGTACCAAATATACCTAACTATATAAGTTCTACTTATTACCGGACGGATGAAGTTTGTCACCGAGTTTAATAGAGTGCACTACATATAACCAGCTCGACAGCCATGCACCTCATAAGTTTTTCGTCAGAAAAGGTCTCCCAGAACTGGGCCAACTCTTGACAAGAGTCACTTTTCGTAAAAGAGAAAGCAATTATCATCACATAATGTTCTGTGGCGTGACTTTCACCTGGAAAGTTAATCAACGTCGTCCCCAGACCTGAACCTAGCCTCATTAAAAAAAATTACTATTCGACCAATATAATAAATAAAATGTGTGATCTATTTTATAGCAGGCTGGTTACAATCTTAGTCACAACAAGCACCATCCGGGCAGGGAATTTTCTAAAAATGTACTTATTTATTTTTAAATTAAATTTTACATCCAAAATACTTACACGCATTAAAAATACGCATTAAATATTAGAATAATGTACTCGTTTCTATTTTCATGGCTAAATTTTGTCTATAAAGTCAACGCATTGTTCAAAATTAAATTCAAAGTGTTGAATTTATTTTAAAATTAAATATATTTAATATTTATTTATATTTATAATTTATAATATTTATATTTATAATATATAATTTTATATTTATATTTTATATTTATAAGAAAGGAGAGAAAGGAGAGAAAGGGCATTTTATATTTTATATTTTATATTTATAATTTTTATTTATTTATTTATTTATATTTATATTTAATATATACGCCGTTTTGTGCAAATCAGTAATTTTATAGTTAGGTTATGTTAGCAAGATGGGTCGTTCAAGGAATCCAGATGACTGACAGACGAGTTTTTTCGAAATTATAAGAATTTCAGTTGGAATTTTTTGATCGCCCACCACCACCAATCACGTAGGTCATTGCTAACATGGGACTAAAAACTGCAGAGAAATATTGCAATTTTTCGCAATTAATCATGAACAAGCAAAAATCTGTTAATTTTTATGATTCCTACTCCAATTTTGTGCAGTTTTTTTAAAACGAGTAACCAGCAGTCGAACTTTGGTCTGTTAGACGTAGGAATAATGATAAATTAGATCAGTCTTGTATTTCCAGTGATATGATCAACAACGCCATGAATTTCATTTATTTGAAAATGAGATTGCTTTAAGATACAATTTTGTTGAATTTTTCTCGGATTAAAATTGTTTTCGAATGATTCATTTCAAACTCACAACAAAATATATGGTTTTATAATTTGTTCCATCTTTTACATAGCGCACTTTAAATTTCAGAAAGTTTATAAACTCAGGAAAATGTAATTTATACTTGAAATTTGTAAAATTTTTCTGAGAATCAAAATTTGCAATCTTATTACACGCCGAAATTAAATATTAATTTTTTTAATTTTTGTGCGTGTTTTTCACACCATACTTTGAATTTCTAAAACTTTATATATACTTTAATAGATTAAATTAGGCAGACGTCGTCGAAAAGAAATTATTTGTTTTTTTTTTACTTCTGAAAATAGGTGATTAACACTGGAAGGAAATTTGCAATTTTTGAAAATACAAATATGTAATTTTTCATACCGGAAGTATTTACTTTTTCTGATGATTTCCGACATTTTAATAAACTTCATTTCTGAAATATTTTATGCGTTTTATGAAGTAGATTTTCTTCTCAAAATTATTTTTATATTTTGTGACACATAATTCCAGGTAGGAATTTATAATTTATAATAACCTACAAGGTAGTGATACGGGTAAAAAGTTAATTATAACCCATATTTCTTATGATTTTGAAATTCAAGGTATGTTTTTCACACTAAAATCATAATATTCGAATTATTTAGAATTCTAAACAATAATCTAATCTTGATTTAATCCAGAGTTATGACTTTTGTAAGATCGCGACATAAATACAGTTTGGAACTTGATAGCTTTTTTTCGTTCTTGTGAAATGCAAAATGCCGCATTTTTTAAACTCCAAAAATGCATACTTAATACGTCACAATTTAAATTTTTGAATTTGTTGTACATAATTAAAATTTTAGATGTGATTAGTTTGTTCGTGGAATTATACTTTCTCAAATTTTTTGTTGAAAAACACAACTTCATCTTGGAAATTAAAATTTTTAAGTGAAACTTTGTAGATATTTCTCAGAAAAAAAGTTGTTTCGAAAAACTTTGCTAAAATGTTTCTGTCATTTGCAGCGTCTGGGAACCATGGAGGGTGACATTGTGCCTTACGTGATGGGACTCCCGGTGACGAACAATATACCCGCGCAGGGCCTCAACCAGCATGTTTCGCCCTTCGCCGCCCTCGCAAACTTCTCCAAGCAGGATGCCTTCGTGGCAGAAATGTTTCTTCATTATGTCGCCAACTTTGTAAAAAGTGGGTAAGTTGAGAGAATCGTGGTGGATTTTTTTTGGGGGTAGGAAATGTTAAAGAATGGGTGAGCTTTCTACGAAAAGGCGAATTTGCATAATATTTAAAATAATTACGTAATAAATATAAAGAGGGTACTCACGATATAACGTTTACAGCGAATCTCAAACGTTGAACATATCTAAATTACTTTTGAAGGTTTGCGAAGTTTGCGTGATTTCGATAAGAATTTTGGTGCAAGACTAATAATTTTGGGAGTTACGAAAGTATCGACCCAAATAGGATATGGATTTTTTTATTTTATGAAGATTATTTCGCAAAATGTTTGTATAATGCGGCACAAAATTAGAAATTGTGGCGAGTACGCCGTACGCACAATATTTACTGTGGAAAAACTTCATAGTTCAACGCCGAAACAAAAATATTTTGCAATTTGAATATTAATTTGTAATGTCAGATTAATGTGGTAGTATAGATATCTGTATGCATTTACATTCAAAAGGATATTTTTTTAAACTTTCAAAATAGAAAATTTTATTTGGAAAAGTTTTGCCAGTTACTTTTAAGTTTACGAGTTACTAATTTACCTCGTGAGCATAGAGTTCGATAAAATTTGTGAACACAAACAAATTTTGTATTTTTATTGCCAATTGTTGAGGGAAGTGAACACCGGAAATAGTTTTTTGGGGAAGTTCAAATATAACGAATTATACGATAGATATTTCTCCATTCCATTGCATTTCCATTTGTGTATGAAACATGTCACTTTTTGTAATTAATTTTTTGTCATCAGTTACACCGAGGGGTCAAAATTTCAAAATTCATGAAGAAATAGATCACAAGTTTTATGTATGCAAGTTCCAAAACTGTAGGAAAGTGAACTTTTCTCAAGAGACACGATGTCTAATAAAAAAAAATGTAACATACACGTCGATTGACATGACTTTTTCCGACCGGAAGTGGGCTCGTGCCCTTGTTATCGCGTCAAGAAGATATGATTACAGAGAAGAAGGGAAACTTTTGCCGGGGAAAGTCCTTTCTCAAACCATCAATAAATCCGTCATGTGTTACACTCACGGAGAAAACACTTTATTCTCGACGTTGTAGTTCCTTCCTTGCCGGTCTCAACCATTGGAGAGTCAATGCAAAAAAGTGGTGAATGATGCTCTTAAAAATGTAAGGTAAATTATTTGATAAGTACAGTGACAAAAAATCAACAAAAAACAAAAAAAATTCTACCTATTTAAAGGGACTAGAAATTAAATTTGAATTTTTTAACCCCGCAAAAATTTCAACTTTTATACATAAATTATTTTACAAGCCTATTTTTTGAATAAATTTATAATGTAATTTAAAAAAGAATTAAATATTTCTGTAATTCGTGAAGCACTACGGAATTAATTAGTTAGTTAAACTGATTTAGAATTGTTCATTTGATCCATAGTATTTTTGGACTTCAGAAGAGTTTACGAGGCAATCAAGTCCAATTGTCAGGAAACATTTTATATATTTAAATTCTGAATTTGCTAACGTCGGAAGATATTATTTTGAGATGTTGAGACCACTATGTGACTAAAGATTGTATCTCGATGCTTTTTGGTTACTGATATTTGATTGTATTGATTTGTTTAAGAGTGTCCATCCTACCGAGTCGTCATTTTGTGTATCGGACCATTTTCCGTGTGCCGTCCAGATCAGGAAATTTCTGTTTGCTTCTATTTTACTTTACTTTCCCACTTTTTTCATATATTTTTTACAAAAAAAACTTTTTTGAAGGCATCAAACTGATGAATTACTTCCAAGATGGATGTTTAGATACCGGGGAAAAAGTTGTTTTCATACTTTCACTTTGCGTTTCTGTTCGTAGTTTTTTTTAAGTTTGTGAAAAAATTCATGTTTTTGCATTCTGCATTAAAAATTTACAAAATTTAAATACGTATTTTCACAATGAAAATATTATGGTAACAGGGTTGTAACCAAGGAGCCACGGACCATTATTACACCGTAATAACAAAACGGTACATACATTATCCACGAAATTAAAATTTATCTCTATTTCAAAACATAATCACGTCAAGTTCCAGGTTACATATGTAAGCTTGAAAACTAACGTTTATAAATTATTTGCCAACAAAATGTGTGATAATCTATTTTTTGCTAGATATTTCTGCTTTTAATACTAATTTTATAGTTCTTTCCCAGCAAGTTTAATATTACAAACTTGAAATTTAAATTATTTATTTGTGTCAGATTTTTAACGTTAAGTTCCAAAATGTAAATTTCAAACAACTTTTCTGAATGATTTGCCAGCAATATTTCCAATAAAGTATACGATAGCATAATTTTTTGCTTGTTTTACATACCGGAATTGTAAATTTCTGAAATAGTAGATATTAGGGGTTACAAAATTTAGATGACAAGTGTCCATTCGTGAAATTAATTTCGTTACAATTGTTTTGTAGAACAGACAAATTTAATATTTTAATCTACAATAAGCCTCACGTTAGAATTATTTATTTTGTGCCAGTCTTTTTATAATTCGTATTTTTTTTGCAAATTTGACCAGCCCTCGATTTTTAAATTGCATTTCTATATCGAAATAATCGACTCTCTAATTTATTGTAATTCTTTAACACCGCAAATTTATAATTTCTATAATCTAAATATAAGTCAAAGCTGTATTTAGATGCATTGCCACACTGACAATAAATTAATCTTCGAAACACCTGTTGCTTTCATACATACATTAATCGAGTGGAAAATAATTGTCACCGTTTTTGGTGCTAAATCTTTACCAATACTTCGTCACAACTGTATTCTCATATTATTCGCAGTGCATCAAATTCTCATTATTATTGACAAGTTGCGCCCACCCGAGGGAGTCGGGAGAAAGTTTGGGCGAAATATTTACCGAAAAATTACTGTTGAGATGAAAGTAGGGATGAAGCTTGAATAATTATGCTCACTCAACGGTTATAGTACTGCCACGACCTTGTGTAACTAATCGCTAAAAAATTTTTGAAATATTTCAACGTCATTTCGACTTTTAATTTGAAAATGCACACGACAAGAAGTAAGTAATAGGTTAGCTCGAAGGTAACTCAAATTTATTTGAAATGTATATTTTCTAAAGTTCAAGAATTTTGAAAACTTCGAAACTCTCAATTGTCTCGTCTTTTTTTAGTCTGAATTGAAACGGGGAAAGTAAGAAATAGGACACTTGCTCTTCTTTAGGGTTTCTTAAAATCGTGATTTTAACTTTTTATTTGAAATCGATTTTGTCAGTAGCATTAGGTAGTTGTTTTCGAATTTTTCTAAACACAGGCGAATATTTACTGTCAAATTCTGTCTGGAATTATTATAACGATACAGTTATAAATAGGTCTGCCATGATCTTATGTAACTAATTGTGAAAAAATTTCGAAATATTTTAACGTCAATTCGAGTTTTAATTAAATGATGCAGATAATAGAGTAAATGGTAGGTTGAATGATCCCGTTATCTATGAGACGAATTTATTTGTGAAAAGTATATTTTCAAAAGTTCAAGAATTCTGAAAATTTCGAAACTCTATTTATTCTGCTCTCACTCATGCCCATTCTGCAATTTCCTTTGAAATTTGATTCTCTGTTTTTCTTTGTGCTACGTGCCAAACCCTGGTTTTCTATATTTGGTAATTCTTCTCAAGGATGCTCCAGATGCGGATCGGATGCATTGAGTGAGTTTATTTTAGAGAGATTGTATCCCAATTCGACGATGGTGGTGGAATAGTGACACGTTTACGTTCTGAGGTCAGTCTAGTTAGTTTAGTGTCTGAGGTTAGTTTAGTGTCAACGTGGGTCCTTCTCTCGGAACTAAATTGGGACGAAATTTGACCTCCTATTTACTTTCACCTTGCAGTAAATTAGATCACGTTAGTGGAATGAGGAGGCTTCCGTGATGTGCCCGTTTTTTCATTCATTTCCTATTTTTGTCTTGATTGCTTTCATCTGGTGAAAGAAGGCAGATACTTTTTTAGGTGAAGAAAGCCACCTCTAAATTTATAAATACATTAAATTCGTGACAAAAACAAGACTGTAATTTAATTAATTTCTAACTGATCTAATGTTTACTTGGTGAAATTGCAGTTTTGTGAAATTTTGCAAACTTTTTCTAAATGTTTAAATTCCTCATTTGTTGAGCTTCTAGCAACTTGTATGACATATGTAGTTGCGGAAGGAGAAAGCTGTCGTAACTTGAGTAAAGATTATGTAAAATTTTTAAATACTTGTTCAATTTTTTGTAAACCTTTTAAAACTCGAAAACTTCACATAATAAAACTGATAAAATCAACATTTATTTTCACTGTTATGAATTTGTGACACAAATTGTGTCCTATGGATAAAAACTATTTCAGGTTTCAAAAACTGACCAACAATGGACAAACTTTCTCTTCTTGATTTTTTCAGGCGCATTGATTCGAACGAGGTTGAAGTGGAAATTCGTGGCGGTGGTGGCGAATCGGTCGTCCCGCTCTCCTCCTCCCCTGGAATGACCGGCACGACCGAGTACGACTTCACCACCGCGCTCACCGTCACCATCACCGTCGGCGTCGCTCTCATCGCGCTCAATTTGGTGGTATTCTCGGCCATCATGTGTCACCGGAAGAGGGCCATCCCCACCAACAACGAGGGCGACAGGGGAAGCCGTGATAGTGACGAGGTCGACGAGAGTGGGAGGAGTTCGGGGGGTGGGACACCTCAAAAAGGAGGAGTCGCCCAGTATCAGCAAGCTCAGGTGAGGTTTTGTTGTAATACACGATAAATAATTTGGTAATCAAATTGATAGTTTAACGAGTTAGGAACCTTGGCAAAAGGTTGTGTTACCGAACGGTGACAATAATTGTGTCAAATTTGCTAAGTTCCTTTACTTTTTTGTGGAGACAAATTTACGAATATGAATTAAGTCGATTAATTCGTTAATCAGAGGGTAGCAAATTGTTACCAAAAATACGGTATGTACTTATTCTCGATCAGATTTTTATTACCCCGAAAAGAATAGTCCACCCAGTTTGTAACGATTTGGTACCAATGATTATGCACAAAATTTAAACTGCAACCTTAATTCGAGCTTGGTAATTAAGATGCAAGTTGAATTTAGTGCCCTTTTATTATCACCACTCGGTAACATACTTGTTACCACCACCAGCAGAGCCAATCTTGGTCCCACATTATTCAGGGTACACCCATCCTTACTTAAGCAGAAGAAATTGTTGGTGTGATTTATGCCGGGGCTAAAGTGCGGGTGTCATTAAGGACGGCGGAGGAAGTGAGAGTAGGCGAAGGTCTTCGTGGCAGGAAAAGTACAATCAATTAAAGGCACATTAAAAGCGAAAAAAGAAAATGTCAGCGACTTCGATAAAGAGAGCCTTTCCTTATTTTTTGCTGGGTTTACGTTTTATTTATAGTTTCCCAACGTGGGTGGCGGGGTCACGATTACATAAGATGAGATCCTTCTATTTTTGCAGCCAATCATGATTTTGCTCATATAGTGATTAGGAGAAAGCATAAAGAGCAAAAGTTACTAGGTGGAGAAAGTGGGTACATTTAAGAAGGAGAAAGTATTTTATGTAGTACAAATTTATAAAAAACAATAACTTCGTAAACAAAAAATTACACACAATTTCACAAAAAACAGATCATTTATAAAATATGAGAAACCTAAATTTAAACAAACACTAGATTTTTTTGTAAAAATTCCAGACCAGTAATTTTCTACAATTTCTTTTAAAAATAGAGTGATTAATTCCGAGAAAGTCTTGCAAGTCCCAAAAATTATGTATTACTTTCACGTTACGTCGCTCTCACTTTCTCTCCTTTCTACACGAGTCTAAAATTTCCCACATTTCAGGAAGATTACAAGTGGTCCACGGCCTGTTGTTCATCCTCGAACCACCAGCAGAACCACCCTCACCCGCAGCAGGAACTTCACCCTAATGACTTTCCAACCACTCATTTATCATCCTCCTCGGTCTACATGCCCGCCGAATCCATCTCAATGTCCCAGTACCACCAGCAGCACCAGCACCACTTTCACCCGGGTAACAGTGGTGGCGGGACGTTGCCTCGGTCATCGCACGGTCATCAGGGTCACCACCTCGCCTACGAGACCCACAGCGGGGATCTGGCGGGAATAGTTTGTTGGCGGAAAGATGAGGAATTTTATCATCTCAGAAACCTCAAAATCCCATTACGCCTTGTTCCTCGAGCCCCTCGGCGTCCGCGACGAATACGAACACGACGAATTCCACGTCCTCAAACCCATCCCCGAACAGCGGGAGTACAATTTGGTCGGTGTTCTGAAAAGGAACATGACGCCAATGTGAACATGACGTTAAAACGAGGGTCCAGATTCAGGAGATATCATTCTGACTGCTCTGACTCTCTATCTGTACTTTTATAGCCTGAACTAAGTTCTAAATAACCGACGATAAGTACAAATATACATATTGTGATATCACCTAAATGCCTCGCTTCCCAACTAATTTTATTTACAAAACTGTTACATACATTTAGTCTTTGCATGATTAAACTCGATCTAATAAAACAAATATGAAATTTATAAATTTCATATTTATATGAAATTATTCTTTATTTATATATTCATATTTCATATTCATACTCGTGAAATTTATAAATTTATGACGTTTTCAGGAGTAAACTCGTAAAAATGAAATATACCCTGTAAAAATGATTTTGGAATAAAATGACAAATCCGTCACTATTTTACCCAATTACTGGCAGTTTCTGTTTTTTAATAGAAGATTATCAAGATGGGGAAATACGTATTTCGATACAACCTACAAAAAGTTAAATCCTATTTTCTAAATAATTTCTTGTCGTGGTTTAGCACGAATTATTTTATACTGACTTTACCAATTTACCAGAAAAACAATAAATACGTACATATGTCGACCGAGTTTGATCAAGTAGGGCCACAAATGGTGCCCTTCACATCTTTAAGAGTGCAATTTCTCCACATGTGGAATTGCATTGCATGTATCGGATTAGGTTATCGTGGAAAGATTTATGAGATTGGAGCCAATAGTCGACGGAGCAATGTTCTCTCATTCATGATCTAATTTCCATTTTACTTATACCATGCAATACTTACCTACATAAGATATATAATGTCTTGCAATAAAATAAATTGATCCTCGAAAGTGCATCGTTTTTAATCATTACGAGTTAAAAATTAAGACCTGGAGAAAATTTGAAACAAATTATGTACAGGGAATTTTACCACATTTGGCAAGCTATTTTTTACAATAAGGGTAACCAACCTGAAAAATATGAGATAGAAATGCAACAAAATTGAAAAATACAATAATAAGTAAAAAATTTGTGCTCGTTTTTAATATTTATAACATTTTAAATTCAAAACTGTCAAACTAAAACGCCAAAAAAATATAACAACGCGTATTCTTGCCGGTTTAAAAGCTGAAATGAGGGAATCGCATGACGTAATGGTAATCTAATAAATTTAGGATTTCTAGGTGATATTATATGAAGAAATGGCTTTCTAAAAATTAGAATATAAAATTGAAAAGCAATTATTACATCAAGATTACAAATCATTGCGTTATTATTATTGTGTGTCTTGATAAACATCCGGTCACGAGTTCGTCAGATCAGTAAATTTTTGTGACGCCATTTCAGTTTATCTGTTCAAAATTCACATTAATCATTCTGTTCTATTCTCTTGCAAACTTTCTCCATGTGTTAACTTTTAAACTGTAATGATGGATGCATGGTGCACAACCATCAATTTTTTCATCTCATAACAAGATGTTTCTGTAAATACCACGATAAACGATATTAATGAATAAACACAATGATGTTTAAAGTTTCTTTAGTGTAAACTTTATAATTTTATTTTCTAGGCTGCAATTTCATATAAAAATCCCAAACGTATCCCTAGATTTAAAATCTAGGGATAAACAAACAGATAAACAGATAAACAAAAATTTACTGATTTGACGAACTCGTGACCGGATGTTTATCAAGACACACAATAATAATAACGCAATGATTTGTAATCTTGATGTAATAATTGCTTTTCAATTTTATATTCTAATTTTTAGAAAGCCATTTCTTCATATAATATCACCTAGAAATCCTAAATTTATTAGATTACCATTACGTCATGCGATTCCCTCATTTCAGCTTTTAAACCGGCAAGAATACGCGTTGTTATATTTTTTTGGCGTTTTAGTTTGACAGTTTTGAATTTAAAATGTTATAAATATTAAAAACGAGCACAAATTTTTTACTTATTATTGTATTTTTCAATTTTGTTGCATTTCTATCTCATATTTTTCAGGTTGGTTACCCTTATTGTAAAAAATAGCTTGCCAAATGTGGTAAAATTCCCTGTACATAATTTGTTTCAAATTTTCTCCAGGTCTTAATTTTTAACTCGTAATGATTAAAAACGATGCACTTTCGAGGATCAATTTATTTTATTGCAAGACATTATATATCTTATGTAGGTAAGTATTGCATGGTATAAGTAAAATGGAAATTAGATCATGAATGAGAGAACATTGCTCCGTCGACTATTGGCTCCAATCTCATAAATCTTTCCACAATAATCTAATCCGATCCGTGCAATTCCACGCCTGCAGGAAGTGCACTCATAAAGATGTGGAGAGATAATTTTCTCTTGTCAAAGTCCTAGTTCGGAAAATCAGTATTAACAAATTGGTAATAAAATACGGCAAGAAATGGGAACAGATTGGTTGCCAAATCGGATTTAAATTTTGATAAGTTTTGGCGACGAAATAATTTATCAAGGAATATTCACAATTAAAATAGTAAATAGATAATATGCTGAAAGTTTCAATTTTAAGACCAAACTTTGGAATTTTCGCATTCATTTCATTTAAAAGAATTTTAGCAAAGACATATTTTATTGAAAAACTTTAAAACTTACAAAGTGTGAAAATTGTTATTTTTTAATTAGAGTAAACAGGGACTGATGGGAAAAATATGTATTGTAAAATCATAAAAAGGTAATAATTAGAGCTCAGAAAAGATATAAGGAAATTCAATTGATAAGAAGCAAGGCGAGACCGAATTTAAAATACAAAATTTGGCTACTAAATAATCTTAATTTCAATAAAGTTAAATGCATGAACTACATTTTCTACAAAAACAGTGCGGACATTTAGATATCTTGTTAATAATAAAGTTTTACTGAAATGATAAACATTTACCGATTGATATTACCGCCTGATAATAAAACTAAACAAATCTGGCACTATATTTTTAAGAGTGCGAAACATATGTGGGATGCAGTGCATTTAACATATTCCAATCCAAACCACTGGTAGAAGCACTTTGATAATTGCTGCGAGAATCTAGTCGACATCATTTGTGCTCAACTTTCACTTTAATCACTGCCTCTACGCGGAGAAAGCCCCACGTTTGGGAAGATCTGCCTAACTTTAAAGTGATCACGAGGGACTTATTATTCCTATAGATGGATTCCTATAGAGACCTTGGTAACATTATAAAATCCGCAAATTCTGTAAACTTTTACAAAATTTCACAAAAGTTTCTAAGGAAAATTATCTCACGTATTTTTGTTATCTTACCCAGGTCAAGAGAGTTTTTTTCATTTCGTAGAAGTTTGCAAAATTAGTTTACAAAATTTATGGATTACAGAGACAAGGTGCACAGAAGTAACGTACGTGCGTAATTCTTCACAACTACACCCCATTTGTTCCCATGTACATTTTAGAAAATTAAAATATGCAGGATTTTGTCCACAGAAAGTATTCTCTCGAAATCTGTCGAATTTTGGACGTTCTTTCAACAGCAAAATTTGGCGACTTCGATACAAAAATAATATAACTCAAACAGAACATGAAATACAATTGTGTACATTGAATTGTAAAAATCATTTAATCATATCATCAGAACATAACAGATCGATCATAACTGAACTGGTAAAAATATGTAATCTAATCCATAAATAATTTTTCTAGCAAACAACTTCATCTGACGCATGAGTAAACTAATTTAATCAAATCACAAAATTCTTATTGGCTGTAAAACTATACAAATCGTGTCGATTTTGAAAATTTCTATTCGGTAAAAATATTTATGATAGTAATGAGTCAATTTCAACGACGGAACCCTGTGCTTTCTCCGACATGCTTAAATCACCGATGTCAAGACAACAATCATTCTCTTCGGCAAGCTGATGCACTTCTTTCTTCGGCTTCTTGCACTAAAATTTCAACCTAAATTGCTGATCCGTCGAGTCACCCAGAAATCGACGACGACTAAAAGTTATCACTCTTGCAATAATTGCTCTCTCGTCCCGTGCGTGGCGACGGATGAGATCGTAGCAAGCAATTAAAATCGTGAAGAAGCAAGAATTATCGTTTCTTGGACCATTTAAAATTTAACCACGCGAATACTGCGTGATTAGAATCTGAATTAGTTTGAGAGGTTGGTAGATACAGAGAAAAGTTAGTTTTATACGGGATGCAAAGTAAGAAAATAATGAGAGGAAATTAACTTGGACTTATGTGACGTAGTAAAATCCAAGCTATTAAAATCGACCCATTCGCAGAGTGGTATTTTTGCTGGGGCATGACTATTGATAAATTGCCGGATTTTGGGCAAGGCATAAATGTACTGAACATTTGACCCAATCGAGCATCAATTTGAACAAATGACGGCCACGTGACATAATACATAGTGGCGAATAGTGTCTGCATAAAATTACTCCTAATTAGTGTTCCGTGAATAATTTTGCATTTTTGCGCAGTCATTTTTAACCATTATTTGCCAGGCATTGAGAAAATTTACGTGGATGATTGTTATACACACATTTTGTAAACTTTACAGAAATGCTTATATAATAAACAGAGCAGGGATTTCTCCAAGCTTGATTTATTCGACCATAAGAATTCAGGTAAATTGCGTAATTTATCAATTTATGTAACCCATAAATTTAAGAAGTAATCTTATTTTTAAAAATGCAATTTTTTCGGCTTATTACCGTTACCAGAAACAATGATCAATTGCCCAGCTTTTGATCCATATCTAAAAATAATATTTTTATTATTACATTATTAAACTAACGATGTTGGTATTGCAGTTTAACAATGAATTGGATATCAATTTTGAATTTACCAACCCGACTACAAAGTTTGCAAAGCTACCTTTCCAATTATTAAATTAGTTATGCAAAATTTCCCAGAAAATTTGTACGAACTAAATTTTGACTAAAGCTTAAGTTCGATGGGTGTGGTGCGTACGGTGGAATCGAATAGTAGTCATTTGCACCCACTTCACTTATTTTTACCCCCGCGGATAAAATCAGGCGATTTGGAGGACGAGGAAAGCGGATCTGTCTGTTCGATGGGCAGGTGTAAATTAGAAAATGGGTGATTTTCACTTACTTGTCTTCTACCTGAGTGAGCACAAAGCAGTGGAATTCTATGGACCAAGGGCCATGCAGACGTGGTGTCGACTTTGTCACCACATTTTTATTCACAGCGTAAAGTAATTTCAAAGAAA